TGAGAGTAAGCTTTAAATCACCACTATGGGACAATCTCATTAAACTTTCAATTACAGATTTACCAATATATTGTGCTAAAACATTTACACGCAATAATTATACTGTTTGAAAAATAAAATATACACTAATTTTGTATTAATTTACTTTTGTCTAGAAGGAAGCCATGGTCAATAAAATGGTTACGTAGGAGTTTAATCAAGTGGGGAACGTCTGCAAATACATGTACAGCACGACCAGTTATTGGGTGGGAGAATGAAGAATTCTCATGAGTTATTGCCATTGATTTCCACAAACCTACATTGCCTGTACCCATATCACTAGTAACTGAAACCACATTGTAACCACTGTAATGAAGTTTACTTATTATTTCTTCTAAAATTGATTTTGTCATAGGTGTATCATATGCATAGAAGATTGGCTGTTTCCATTTTGCTATTAAGCCCCTAGCCATGATAACCTGAACGGTTTTGTGTGGGCCGATAACTTTTTCATTTACTTTGTCAAAACAAATATCATGTGCAATGTATACTTCATCAAATGACAAAGCAGTAATCTTATCTTTTTCATCCATTGAAGCACCTGAGGAAAAAAATGTATAGTTCTCAATATTTTATTAATTTAATTCTTAATAGTTAACCTTTTTTTTCCATTATTTCCATCACACCATCTAAAAAACCAGGTTCAATAGGAAAATTTGATGCCCATTTTCTCAATGTTGACAGTCCTAAACATTCAATGTAATTTTTTATAATTTATATTTTCTATTAAATCGCTATTCAATTGTTATTTTAATATATTCTTATAGTTGAGCTAACATGTTTAATAAAGGCATATTAAAATTTAAACGCATAAACATAATAAATACTTTAAATTATAAACCTGGCAATGCATAGTGTAGTGTATCCCTCAAATAATTATATGCTTTTGTTGATATACTTTTTAAGGTGATGGCTTTTGTAATATCTTCTAATTCTCATTTAATTATTTTTTTTTTTTGGATTAATAAAGTAATTGATTTGTGTTTTAGTGAAAAACGGCAATAACATTGAATGTATTTTACCCTCAAAATCAGTCTTCAATTCAATGTTTTGTTTCGATAATGTTTCTATTTCACTTTTCAATAAATTATTAGCTTCAAAAACATCAGCATACTTCTTATTAAGAGATTTATTTAAACAATTAGCTTCCTGAAGTTTCAATTTTGTCTCATGTAACTCCTGATTAATTCTAGATAAAAAATTTAATTTGGTAAATATTAATATGCTAATATTTAACAAGAGCGTTGATTTGTTTAGTCATTTTTAAAATATTGCTGTTACAAACTAATTATACAATGGAGGTAAATTGAACATGTACCTATCCAAATTAGAATCCAAATCATTGATAGAACTAATAGATTCATCGATATCATTAAAGAGACATCTAGATATAGGTTTTCTATTATTTATAACATTTTCTACAGCCTAAAACAAAATTGTATGTTTATAAATAAATAAGTATATCTAACTATGTTTCTCCATATGAAAATTGTACTTACATAAAATTGCTCTGGAGTATCATCATGGCTTGTACTTGTGCAATTTATTGTAGTCATAGTCGAGGTACTCATACTGTCCAAACTTAAATTTAAATCCTCATCATTTTGAACCTTACATTTTTTTCTATGTTCTACAGGTGAAATCTTAAGTATTTTGGAATTTCATATTATTATAATACAATAAATGAAAAACTGAACATTCTAAGTTTAATAAATACAATTACCTTCATAGTTACATCAGGTATATTTTTTGATGGAATTGCATCTAATTTTAGTTTCCTCTTTTGTCTTGGTGAATAGTTCATAAAGGTATCCATAAAGGTTTTTTGTATATCTTTCGGAGAGAAATGTATTGAACATACTCTTGCTATATTTATTAATTTTTTGTTTTTACAATAATCAATAATAATAATTTGCATTGTTAAATAATATATTTATATTATTTCATTTATTGAATTTAGTTTATTAATTATGCCTATATAATATTAATGTTTGCTTAAAATGTATCTTATATAAGTATTAATTAAATAAATATATTTATGTTTGTTTAAAATGTTTATCTTGTTTATTAAATAAATTATCAATTTAATATATTTATAATTTATTTTTGTATTTTTATATGTACTATACTAAACTTGTAATAGTTATCAATGACTGGTAACATTATGTATTCAAAATATATTTTTTTATTAGAATTAACATAATACTTGTGTCTACGAGTAATGGGTATACACAATAATACAATTATAATAATTGTAAAATGACTACACTATTTCAATTAAACATTATGATGGGATATCCTTAAAATATGTGTAGTATATTTTACATAGGTATTGGATTTTGCCGATTTTGGTGTTTGTCAAATGTGGTGGGTATTAATCAACTTGTACATTTAATTTACTTGGTACAAATGAAAAACAAAAACAAGTGTAAAAATTAATTATTTTAATAGTATTTAAAATTTGAAAGTAATGTACATGAACACCGTTTGATTGCATGACGTCCAATATATTATTAACTATAACGTAGGTACTTTAATAGATGCTAATTTTAGTTGTTGCATATCATTGATGATCGATTGAAATTAACTTACCATATTTTACATTTCGGCTTGGTGATTTACCACAAGCCGTCAACCATTTCAACTTCATTACGGGAGATTTGGGAAAACTATAATATCTAACATTATTACTTTTCCCTGAAGTCGTATTGTTCCTACAACCATCAACAAAACAATTAGGCATTTTCAGGCATATAATGTTAATTATTAATAAAACTATAACAATATTTTTACTACATTCATACATAAGTAGAAAACGGGTATGGTTAGGAGTTAGGACTTATCAGGTTGGGACTTGTGAATTATAATTTTTTTAAATAGCTAAATTTAGCCATGGCTATAAATTCATCAAAATAAACAAATAAAATGTTATTAGGTGCAATATTTTTATTTTTATCGAACAGGAAACAATAACATAATATGTAAATATGTAATACAATAATACAGTAATGACGAATATGTTGTACATTATACATTTTGGAATTAAGTATAATTAAAAATTATTTTCAAATACATATGTAAAATATTCAATGTATATCAATTATTTGAATTTCATTTTGAATATTGATATTTGATAACATCTGTTTTTGGCGGGAACGTGACGTCACCTTGGGCAAGTGCGCAGTGATAGTGATTCTAGAATACAGCAGAACATGCCTGTATATTTAGCCATGGTCCATTCTGATTTCATCTATTCTGTGATATAACCAACTTATTCACACAATAAATATTGTAAACATGTTATCTGTTTTGTCTTGACGGAATCAATTGGGTGAAATAAATAAAGTACATACGATTGAAACTGTGACATGCATTATATTATCCAACAACCATAAACCAACAACACATGCTTCATGTATTACAAAGTTTTACAACTGATTATTGTTATACAGTGAAACTTCCATATAACGAACTTCCATTTAACGAAATATTTTTAAGAACTATGACCTTCATTGTTAATTACACGTAAATTTATCTCCAAATAACGAATCTGATGTTTCTATATAACGAAATAATTATTCGATAAAAACCAGTTTTTGTAAATGTTGTCACTATCAAATTGATAGTTTATGTCATAGTTCTAAAATTGAATATGAACAATGTACCCGATAAAGATAAGACACCGAAGGTAGGCAAACTGATTAATTTTACTGTAGTACACTTCAGTTCCAATATTGGTGCAAACGAGTATACATTCTTTCTTCTCTTCGTCCGTACAAAAAAAATGTCAAAACGTAAATGTATATCCATCGCCAATAAATTTGAAATTTTAAACGAAGTTGATAAAGGTGTTAAAAAAAAGATATTGCCGCAAAATATAGTATTCCAACAAGTTCTCTATCAACCATTTTGAAAAACCGTGAAAACGTAACCAATCAAATGCAAAATTCTTCTCTCCTCAGCAATAAAAATAGAATGAAAATTTGTGTCTATAAAGAAGTTGACAACGCTGTTCTTAAATGGACTCGTATATCATAAACTCGGATTATACAACATCCACAGTAACCCTTCCGGGAGCTTCCTTAGGAGGGAAACCTGAATACCCTTCATCCTGGTTTGCCAACAATGCCAACTCGAAGCCACCTCTAACCGTACCCCCTGCACCAGTTGTCAATGAAGAATGGGCGAAGATGCTTGGACACGCATTATCCAATGGGTCGACACCTAGCATAGCAGTGCGATACATGTTCGAGTACATCCGCGACAAAATCAAAGCTGTCAACCCGACTCAGTGGACATCATATGAAGTCTCTATCGCCGCTCCTGCAACAGAGGTAACTCCGCTGACACTACTGAACGTAACAGAAGGAACAACAGCCATTGTTGGCACGCAAGGTGAGTCTATCGATGTAGCAGGACGACACAGATTATTTTACATCTTATTGGCAGGGTACCGATTTGGCATTGCATCGGAGATTCTCCAAGGTGACTACAAATCAGTGGTACTAGGAAAGATCAATCAGGTCCTACGTGGTGATCCCTACAACCTTACATCCGATTTGACTCCATCAGAATTAAACGCCAGCAGAGTATGGTATAACAATGCAGAATTCAGGGCACTTATTGCCGCTTGTGATATGTTTTGGAATAAATTTCCAGACGCATACGGTGCCCAACTAAGGGTGTGTACTCTGAGCTCAAGGTTTAAGGATTGCTCTTCAATAAGCGAAATAAGGCACCTGTCATCTGTGTCAGCAAAACCGGTAAATGATATCTTTAAATATATATTTAACGAGAGAATCCGTGATGAGGTCGTGAATATAGGGAAAGCAGGAGAGGAGTTCTCTCAAGAGGATTCTTACTTCCCTTATATGAGGGAGTTAAGATTGTCAAAGAGATCCCCGTATTCATCCACAGTCAACGAGAACCTCCACAACTGGATCCACATGTTTTGTGCCCTTATGGGGAGTGAAAGGTCGTATAATGCTAGATTGGTCAGCGATAACGGGCTTGCTATAATGATGAATTTAGCACTTTTCGCTGCCAATGCATTCAAAAAGTACACCGTTCCCAAAATTGTATTTGGAGATGCTACGAATGCAGCAGAGGCCCAGGCAATCAATGATGAAGATGAGAATGACGACGGAGTGCCTCCGGAGATTGACGCATACTCTGCTCTAGGGGTTTATCAATACATGATTGAAAATGGAAACGTAGTACCACAAGATATCATTAATGACTTTGCTCAATTCCTTAGCGGACTTCCGGCCCCTAGGGAGAAGACAATAGGTCAATTCTTAAAAAGGAATCTTACTATTAGAAGAGATCCTTAATTTCTTGCTTTACCTGAAACAACAATAGTTTATATACGAGCATACTTGTATACGAAATAACAATCTGCCTATATCAGGTTCGTTAATCAAAGAAAAGGCAATTTATTTTGCTCAGAAATTTGGTTTTATCGATTTTCGTGCAAGCTCTGGATGTTTAGATAAATTTAAATCGAGACATAATGTTGTGTTTAAAGATATTTGTGGTGAGAGTGCTGATGTCCAAGAAAATGACTGTGATACATGGAAATTAAATGTTTTACCAAAATTAATTGAAAAATTCAATCCAAAAGATATTTTTAACGCTGATGAGACAGGTTTATTTTTTAAATGTTTACCAAACAAAACGTTAACTTTTAAAAATGACAAATGTTTCGGAGGTAAGCATAGTAAAGAGCGAGTTACTTTGATGGTGTGTTCTAATATGACTGGAACTGAAAAACAAAAACTTCTAATTATTGGAAAAAGCAAAAATCCAAGGTGTTAAAATGGGATAAAAAGGCATAAAATCAATTGAAACAAATTACGATTTTAATAAAAAAGCATGGATGACATCATTAATTTTTGAAAAGTGGTTACTAGATATTGATCAAAAAACGAGTCAAGAAAATCGAAAAATAATTTTATTTGTGGATAATTGTACTGCTCATCCTCGTACCTTATCTACAAAGTTAAAATCTATAACGATTGCATATTTTCCCCCAAATACAACAAGTAAGCTCCAACCAATGAACCAAGGAATAATAAGTAATCTTAAAGTGTATTATCGAAAACGTATTTTGAACAAAGTTATTTCAAATCTTGAACAGAGAACAACAATTACTCTGCGAGATTGTATTTCTGAGGTATCGAAAGCTTGGAGAAGTGATGTAACGTCCGAAACCATAAAAAAATGTTTTTTCAAAGCGGGATTTACAAATGAAAATATTGAAACCGATATTGAAATACCAGATGTACAACGAGAATGGGAGTTAGTTCATTGCGATGGCGTTACTTTACAAGATTATTTGAAAATTGATGAAGATATCGCCGTATATGAATCACCTACTGAAGAAAGTATTGTAGAAGAGGTTAGAAAAAAAGAAAATCCTGATGAATTTGAATAAGAAGACGACGAAGAGGAACATGCAGTAGAACAATCCAAACTCACAGAAGAAGACATATTAAACGCTTTATCGGTGGTAAGAAATGGTTTTAGACAAGAAGCAAATGTTCCCGATGAAATTTTTTTAAAACTTGACGATATAGAAACTTTTTACGAAAGAAGGACAATTTTCAAAAATAATAAGCAAACAAAACTTACTGATTATTTCTTTTAAATTATATTTAAGGTTAAAAATTAAATTAAACTGTACATACATACAATATACATAATAAAAAAATAATAAAAAAAAGTGGAAAAAAATACGTAATTCTATTTAACGAATTCCTCTATATAACGAATTTTTTTTGCTGCTTATTCGACTTCGTTATATGGAAGTTTCACTGGATAACATTCAAAGGTGGATACATAACATTATCTACGTTCTTATATTATCGTGATTATATTTCTTTATCTACAATGATAATATCAAAAATTTGTAAACTCAGTTTTAGCTGCAAAAGAGAATTTTTAATTACTTTCAAATCCTGGCTACACAGATGTCCCAAATATTTTTTTACTGATTTTCAAGTTCTCATTAAGTGAGCCTTCTGGTTATACTGTGATAATGTAATGGAAACGAGCAGCTTATCATTGCCACGAATGTAGCGAAAGTGCGGAGGGTTGCAATGTGTTCCTAGATTTTACAGCACCATCTGTATAAAACACGGACTTTTGGCCCGTATTACAATAGTCGATAAGCTTGCAGACATTTTTTTTTTTGATAAAGATAGACAAACTTATGAGGAATCTTGTATTACATATTCAAATCTTAGATTTAAAAAGAAAAAATTTTATGAATTCTCAACTCAAAATAATTTGCTAATATTCGTGATTTTTCCGTATTTTATGAAGATTTAAACTTTAAATGCTTACAAATAAAAACTGTGACTAAGGATTTTTAATATTTTTCAAATGTCATTGTAACAATATAGTAGGAGCCTTGTATTAAATTTTCAAGCTTTTTTACAAAACAAATAAAGTTTTATTGACTTTCGTAAAGACAAACTAATACAATTGGAAACAAAAAAGGTTCCTAAACAGTTAAAAACAAATCAAAATATTTTGAAAATGTTATCGTGTATAGAAAATGCAAATATAAACGACCAGTGAAAATGCCATGTATGTACATACATAGAGGTACATCAAAAACAAAAACCGATTTGTCAATGATAATGGTTGTATCAATGTTTAACTTTGATTGGAATTTAAATATTTAAAATTGAAACTTTATCCAACAGTAAATAGTTATTTAATTTTTAATGTTAAAATTGAAATATTTAATAAGAATTAATTAACACTTGAGAACAAATATTTAAAAGTTAAAACATATTTTAAACTGTATAAGTCTTAATATTAAACATTTATTTAACTTACTTGGATTAATAATAATTATGGATTGACTATCAAACATTCATTCAATAATTTATATTTTATTTTATTTTATTTTATTTTTATTTTATTTTAATACGGGCCGCAGCCCAAAAGTACAGAAAAATAAATTTACATATTATAAGTGAATTCAATGTGTAGTAGACATAATAATTAATATAGAGAAAGGAAAGAATACAAAAGAAAAGAATTACAGAACTTAACTTAAAAACTAAAAGACGGATCCTCATTGGCAATACGCATCATCCTATTTAGTGGTTTGTTTCGTGAATAATTTGTCGTACACAGTGGTATACTGAAAGGATAGGAAGAACGGACCTGGACACAGGGAATTTTAAAATTTACTTTAGATAGAAGTTCAGGACAGTCGATCGACCCATTGATGAGCTTGACTAGGAAGACTTTGTTAATGTTGATACGTCTATCGGCCAAAGACTGTAAGCCTAGCCTATCTATTACTGGATCATAATCATGAGGTCTATGTTCGATATTTAATAGATATGCTGCAAAGCTCAAAAACTTGCGTTGGACTCTCTCAAGTTGATTCATATTGCTTGTGTTGTGAGGGTTCCATATAATTACAGAAAATTCAAGAATTGATCTGACGATCGCACAATATAAGGCTTTTAGTGGAGTTATCAACTTAAATTCGTTACAAACCCGCTTAAGGAATCCAAGAGCTTTTAAAGCTTTACAGCATGTCGCATCTATATGGTGATGGAAATTTAAGTTACTATCATAGAAAACTCCGAGGTCTTTCACAGTATTCAGTTCAATAGCAAGATAGGTTCCACGAAGTAAATAATTGAACTCCAAGTGAGTCCGACCTCTATAAAATGATTTTGAGCAACATTTGGAGACATTAAAATCCAAACCAATATTTACAGCCCAGGCATCCAGTGCATACAAGTCATTTTGAAGTAATTGACAGTCATGTACTGAGCGAATTTCTAGAAATAGCTTTAAGTCATCTGCAAATAGTAAGAATTTACTGTGGCGAATAACTTTCTTTATGTCATTAATAAACAATATAAAAAGTAACGGGGAAAGATGGCCACCCTGAGGTACCCCTGACGGCGTGTTTAATACCTGTGATTTGATACCAAATATTTTTATGAATTGTTTGCGACCGGATAGATAAGAGCTGAACCATGATAACAAAGGCTCCCCAAAACCACTACCAGCAAGGACTTTCATAAGAACAGCATGGTTAACCCTATCAAAGGCTTTACTGAAGTCGGTGTAAATGACGTCAACCTGATTTTTTTTTGCAAAGGCATCAAACACATAATCAGTGAACACTAGATTGCATGTGTTAACTGACCGATTAGGGCGAAACCCATGTTGCTCATCTATAATGATTTGATTTACCGCAGATTGGATAGAACTTAAGACTAATGATTCAAACAGTTTACCTATGTGACTGATGATAGTTATTGGCCTATAGTTAGCTACATTAGAAATATCACCAGATTTAAATATTGGCGTTATGGAACTAAGTTTGAGTATTTCAGGGTAGGATCCGGAATCAAGTGATTTTCGAAATAGAAGCCATAAAGGGAAACATATAGACGATCTGATTGAGAATAAGAAATCACCTGAGATACCATCCGGGCCAATAGAATTATTACCTTTCAGGCGTGATAGACCTTTTTCAACATCTGATATATCAAAGAAACAGTTGCTCGGAAGATCGTGAATGAGGGATTGGGATAATTCTGTTTTATAGTTGACGTTTGCCCTAGAATATACAGAATTAAAATGTTTTGAGAAAAAGTCCACTGCCTCATTATTATTTTTACTAATTATACCATTGAGCGTGACTGTTCTGGGAATAGACTGACCTGTTTTATTCTTTCTAACAAAATCCCAAAATTTAGATGGATTGGCACAAAAAGTTTCTTCAGTAGAGCTGATAAATTTTTTGTAACATTGTTTACTCAAGTATTTATATTTAGCCCGAAGAAAACTGAAATTTTTATAATCATCTGGCTTGTTAGTGCTCTTAAAGATTGCGTGAGCTTTCCTTTTTTTATATACTAAATTGATTAGTTCTTTAGAAAACCATGAAGGAAAATTAGAACGAGAAAATTTTACGTTCGGGACATGTCGCAGAATGGATAAATGTATCGCATCAAAAAGTGCATAAGCAGCAGAAGTAACATCTAAATTAGAAAAAGTTTCTAACCAATTAAAAGATAACAAAAATTTATTTATAAGAGGATAATTTGCTTTACGGAAATTGAAGTAGCAATGAGAAGAATCAATTTGTGGTATATTGGTGACCGGAATAAAGTCTATGGACAACGCGGGGTGATAGCGGTCTTCTGGTACCACTGGGACCAATGCAGCTTTAACCTTATACTGATTAAGATTTACAAAGATAAGATCTAATAGTGATCCTGATTTATTAAAAACGTCGTTGATTTGAAAGAAGTTATTCGCTGCAAAAGTCTCCGGAAGACAATTAATAAGATAGCCAGAGGTAGAGGAATAAATCAGACCATGGTTGTCATTTGACCAAGAAACATTTGGAAGATTAAAATCACCACAGAAGATAAACAAATGGTCAGAATAAATGGAAAGTAGATTTTCAACAGTAGACATAAAGGTCTCATAGGATTGAAGAGGAGAGTTTGGAGGTAGGTAAGCACTGCTAACTATATACTTTTTACCACTTAGAGTGAAGTTCACAAACAAAACCTCAATATCCAAACAAGTAACAGGTATTAGATATGAAGGGAGATCAATACGAATGCCAACAAGAACCCCTCCGCCCCTAGAACAGCCACTAGTGGTGTTATTTCGGTCACATCTAAAAATATTATAATTAAACAAATTGAGTTCACCATCAGCTATATCATTATTAAGCCACGTTTCAGTTAAAGTAATGAACGGATAATTAAAACAAGAAGTGTTACATTTAAAATTAAATAACTTAGTCCTAAGTCCTCTGCAGTTTTGATAAAAACCGAGAGAATTATTTACACACAAATAAGTATTATCTACAATTTTATTTTTGTTACCGCCGCGGCCATCAATTAGTTTTTTGTATTTTCCGTTGTTGATTGCCCAGGATTAGTTCGAACCAGTTTTGGAGAACCATAAGAGTTTCTTATAACCCAGCCATGGTCACCACTGTCATGAAGACGCTTAAGTTCAGATCGGAGACCACACAGCTGCTTCCGTTGCATGAGAGTAAGATCTTCGTGTATCCATACATTTTTCCAACGCTCAAGATTCCGTAGTTTCCGTTTAGACTTAAGGACCATATGGACATCTGTTGGGGAGTTGAGCTGAACAACAATAGGACGAGGACGGGATCCCACTGGGCCAATTCGTTTAACTGAGGTAGATTGGCATTGGATTGCCAAGTCCTGGAAGAGGTGATCAACCATGACATTTAAAGTTTCAGAATTTTCATTAGCCGAAAGGGGAACGTTGAAAATCATAAAATTGTTTGCCTTTGACATCCTTTCAAGAGACTCTTGATAAATGTTATATTCATGTGTGGCAGGACCACAATGGTGTTCAGACTCTAGCTTGCTGATTTTTTCATGAAGTGATTTAACTTCAAGAGCTAAAGAAGCTTTTTCCTCCTTAACAAGGTTTAATTCAGTGGTAAGATTATCAATAGCAGTAGAGAATGATTTAATACTAATTTCAAATCCTTCTATATTTTTTACAATGGTTTCGAGTTTTATATCATGAGAAGAAACACTCTCCTGAATAGTAACCAAGGATTTCCAAATATCATCTAAAGTAACTACCTTCTTAGCAGTGGATGTCAAGTTAGATCCTTTGTTTGAACGAGTAATCATAGGCGTTGAAGGCATACTTGACAAAAATAAAATAATGTACCTTATACTGATGAAGAAGGCAACCAGTTTAACGCTAGACGCCTGGTAGATTTGAGTTAGGCAACACAATATGATGGAGCAGATGAACGACAGGCAGCCTGCTATACCACGTACAAATTTAACAGGGTCAAGCGGAAAAACCGATACAACGTACGTAAGACCACTGCTCAGCTATAAAGCGGTAGAGTAGATAAGAGATGTAGTGGATTCAGTTTGAACAATTTATAGTATGAGATAAATGCGAGGTAATGACCGAAAGATTAACGAGATTAACGACGATTAACGAGACGCACGGACGATAATCAGCGATAAGACACGACTATAACAACGCACGTCAGACCGTCATGAAAGCCGAGACTGTACTGAATATTGAACGCTAATTCTAATTTTGTGTTCTTTGAAAATCAAATTTTTGATTATAATATTGAAATACGTATATAAATAATTATTGTAATTTCATGTTACTATGATAATCAATAATTCATCATCTGGATCCAGATCAAGTTAACGGTGGGAGGGGAGGTTACTTAATTTTTTTAACACAAAATAAAATGTCCCCCATCACCCTTGATAAGTTATCACGTCAAAAACCAAAGTCGTGGACTTCTAACTATGTTTTATTATGAGAACGCAAAATGTATTAATGTATTTATAAGTCTTATAATTACATTAATATTTTTTGCAGACCAAACTACATTTATTAGTTTTATAACCAGCTGCATGTATTTTTAAGTAGGTATAAAACCAACGATGCGGGCATGCCACATATAGGCTATAGGGTAGCGTGTCATGTGTTCGAACGTTTAGTGTACGAAAAATTATCTGTTCGAAAGGTGGTATGTGCGAAATTGTCGATAAATGAAACTAAACAAAAATAACCTTAATCGCGTTTTCATTATATTGGATTTCACACAATCTAATCTTTATTGATTTTACGTGGGGAAAGCATTATAGATATGATTAAAAGTTCTTTTTTCTGTCATCTATCAGTACAGTTTGATATATCATTACAAAAGTATCGAACACAATTTCGTTTGAACGTTGTTTTTAAATAATATTTTATACAATTTGTGTAAGTGATTTTTTTTTTTTAAATGGCTAGTATACAGACTTTTAAAAGTATACATGACAAGGAAATGTTACTTGTAAATAATTATGAATACATGTTTGATAAGAAAAGACTGCGAATACGTGATCAAAATAATATGTATTATTGGAAATGTACAAAACGATGTGGAGCAACATTTCGGACAATATTTGAGCACGGTGAACATAAACAAGACAATTATTTTATTAATAATGATCATTTTCACACACCAGATACAGTTAAATATCATTGCAAAATTCTAAAAAATTAAATTAAAAAATGTGCTCAAAATTCACAAGATTTGCCAAATCAAATATATCAAAACGAAATTGCGAATTACAACGTTATAATTTCATCTCAAGTAACTAAAAACGCATCCAAGCAAATCGTAAAAATACCAAGAAAAGGAAAAGAACTAGAACCAGTTTCATTAAATTTTATATGGAACTTCAAAATACAATTTCAGGACAACCTTTCCTTTTGAAAAATGTAATCGAAGGAAATAATAAATTTATGATTTTTACAACCGTTAAGAATTGTATATACTTGAGGGAATCAAATTTTTGGCTCGCTGATGGAACATTTAAAGCTTGTTGTTGAAAGTGAAGCTTGACGGACTAATGATGTTAGCATTAATATAATAAGTAATAACACGACAATATTATTATGTATAAGTATAATATATAATAACGTACAACTGGACAATTAAACTGTGACTATACACACACACCGCGTACACTCGGTATGACAGCGTCTGTGCAAGTGAATATTACATACATCAAAGGCCCTATATATATGCACGACCGAGGTCATGTTACATCCGTAAAGAGAGTGAGTCTTATGCTCGTATATAACTAGTTACTATATTGTACACACGTGTCAAGGCTGACTACACGTACTACATATTAATTGTATATTTCAACACCCTCCCTCATTGTTTGAAAAAATATTTCCCATATGAAACTTGTTTTTTGTAATATAATTTTTTCCATTATTTACACCCCAATCAAAATAATATTTATTGCTATAAAAGAATCACTTGTGAATTACTTATCTAAAATAATGACTGCACGAATGAATAATTTACCTTCAAAATGTGTAACTTACATTTTTCTGGAGATTAAATTACAGTTGTGGCGTCCTCTTAAGTATTAGTATACAGCGCTGGTATAAACTATTTACCTATTCCATCAAATAACATTGTATATATTTAACTTTAATTACCTACAAGTAAAAATACCCTACACCTCTTGTTATCCTGCATACACTGGTAGTATTAGTTATCCTACTAACACTGGTAATATAACTGCTAACTGGATTTAAATATACTTGGTATCTACTATCTAAGGAGACTCTGGATATGCACTTAGACCTTGGCTTTTAACACCAACTCAAAACCCGGCCAATGCAAATGAGGAACTGTACAATAAAAAACAAATGCACACTAGAAGTTTAGTTGAAAGGTGTAATGGGTTGCTAAAAATGAGGTTTAGGTATGTATTCATTTTTAAAATAATTAGTTCCTAGAACCTATGATCAGAATTTAGCATAATCATTTATTTAAGGTGCCTACTGAAACATAGAGTTCTACACTATGCCCCTGAAAAAGCTACAGCCATAATAAATGCTTGCGTAGTATTACACAATATGTGTATAACATACAATGAGCCTGAGCCTATAGACAATATGATTGACATTGATTTTGGCATGTACAGAAATAACATTGGCCAACGCGAAAATGACTCATCCAATGATTTGGATAATGGAAGACGTGACGTGCATGTGTTGTACGCAATTTTGAACAAAACGAGTAACAGTTTTTAATACAAGGAAAATAAATTAAAACTTTTTTAATAATTGACATCCAGTCTAAAATATTTTATTTTAATTAAGTAATTTTTACTATTAGTAAGATAAGTTAGTAGCACTATAAATATAGGTACTGTAGTAATAGGATAAAGTGAATAATGAAGGAATTATAAACATAAAGGAGAAATAAGAAATTTGTATAAAAAAAATAGATAACATTGTGAATTGTGATTAAATAAAATGGAAATGTGGAAAGGAAACCATTGCTATTATGCTAGAAAAAATAAACAAATAAAAAGATTAATAAGAAACAAATAAACAAAATGTTATAGGTTTACTAATAATTGTAAAATAATAAAAATAATACATACCTGCAATAGGTATACATATAATTTCATTTAATTAAATCTATCTTATGTACATCAAATAAACAATAAAGAAAGCCAATCATACTTCACATCATGAGTATTATCATTGACATATAATGTTTTCAAAATGATGTACTTAATTTAAAAAGGGTCAACTTTTAGAGTGTTATATTCTAAGAAAAGATTTTAGTTTATAGGTAAACATTTAAAAATATAGAAAGATAACTTTGAACTAGATCTGTTCCTGTATGGTTTTGTTGAATAGTATTATTCAATTGAAATTAATATAGTAAAAAAAAATAGTAGTTAATAAGGTTATGACTTATAAATAAAAACTTAAACTTATAAACTTATAAAAAAATGATATTACTCTTTTCATTATTATGGTTTGAAAGCAAGGAGTCCCTAATAGATTTTAAATATTCATTTTGTTCAGCCAAAAGTAAAAGTTTTTGGTCCCAATATTTTTGTTTGGCCAACAATTTACGCTCTCCCAAGTCTGCCAACCTGTTAGTAATTACATTACTTTCATCTAACCGAGTAGCTGACGATGTGCATTTACTGTTTACTTGTTCTCTGGTAATTGCTTTATAGGGCAGAAGGTGCTAGTAGTCCGATCACTTCAAAATGTTGGTTTTAATATGATGGAAGTGTTAGTATTCAATATTGACAAAAAAAATTTGTTTTATCTATAAGCTTTTGACTTATATGGTGGTAAAATAATCGACCAAGGATTGTCTGGGTCATGGATCACCTAGTGATCGTTGGTAAAATATTTTACCACTTTAAAAATAAGAAAACAATTATTTTCAATGAATAATAACAGTATATTATATTCAAACAATGAAATCCTGTATACCAAAACACAAATAATCATTGTTACAAGGTACACATTTAATAAAACAAATCAAAGTATAAAAAACAATTAGAAAACTTTTAAAAAAATACTAATAAAATAAAAAAATTCTCTGTTGTAATAATAATTAATAATTAGTAAATAAGAAACAAATCAAAACAAATATTTTGTAAGAATAAAAATAAAATATTATTAAAAAACAAAATTAATAAAAAACAATTAGAAAACTTTAAACATTACTGAGTCTTTATCTCTACACCATCAATGATATACCTAGTGTATTGAATACAATGCCGATTTGAATAGCTTAATTCGGTTTAACAGTCTACCTAAATGGCTTCACGTTAATGTAACCATGTTAGGACGCCGACGGGTTTTCAACAGTCATTATCTTAACTCTTAAGGTTATAGAATCAAATTGTAATCATATTTTGGTATTAAATTCATGATAATGATAATATGTAATACCGGTGTACTACAAATAGAATACTTGTTTGCATTTAATGTGGAATACAATTCTATATTATAAAAATACAGAATTATTAAACAAAAAAAACTAACATTTTTGTCTGAATAAAGTAACATTTTTTTAAATTTAAATATACAGAGCTATACAGATACATTTGTATTAATATTAATTGTTTTTTCAAAGTTTTTAAACACTGGTTGTTCTTTTTTTGTTAATTACATTTTTTCTTCTTAAGACATTTGTCTGGTTCATTTCTTATTTTTTGCTATTAGTGACATTAGCTTTAATGACAGCCAACCTATTGTAACAGCCAAAATGTTTGATGGAGCAGCTGTAATACACATGCTTAATCCTGGTATTGCTACAACATTTTCCGGATACTATGAACTTATTTTCAAGCCATATTTCAGTAATCAACTAAAAAATAGTTCACGAATAGATATTGTTTTTGACAGATATATTAGTAACAGTCTGAAGGCAGGCACCCGAGAAAGTAGAGGAAGTGGCATAAGTATTAAAGTATCAGACTCAACTGCAATACCAAAAAAAATTAAGCAATTCCTATGTGTCGACGAAAATAAAACACAATTGTTCCAGTTGCTGGCCAAGAAAATGGTGGAAGACCTGCAGTACCCGGGAAAGCAAGTCGTCTGTACATATGATGACCAAGTTCTCACGTCAACCACTATGGATGTTTCAAGCATTTCTCCTGCCTCACACGAAGAAGCAGATGGCCGCCTCTTGCTCCATGTTAAGCATGCAGTGGAAAGTGGACATACTTGCATCCTAATACGAACTGTAGATTCAGATGTAGTGGTTATTTCAATATCACTGTTTCCACAGATACTAGGTATTGATGAACTTTGGATTGAGTATGGTTGTGGGAAATATAGGAAATTCATTCCAATTCATGAGATTTGTACTACCCTCTCACCTGAAATTTGTAGAAATTTGTTAGCTTTTCACTCTGTAACTGGTTGCGATACAGTTTCCACATTTTGTGGCATTGGCAAGAAGACATCTTGGAAGGTCTGGATGTCATTTCGTGAAATTGATTGTGTATGGAATCAGCTCTGTACAGGCACCTCTGATATTGATGATGAATGTCATAATCTGTTGCAGCGTTTTATTGTTCTACTTTATGATAAGACATCAGATATACAGAACATCAATGAGTGCAGACGAGTGTTGTTTACAAGAAAAAATCGAGCAATCGAAAATATTCCTCCTACAGCAGATGCTTTGAGACAACATATCAAACGAGCTGCTTTTCAAGCAAGAATTTTGAACAACAGTCTTGATTCACAATACACAGTACCTTCGCCAACCAACTGGGGATGGTCACAAACTTCAGAAGGATCATACCAACCTGTGTGGACGACAATTCCAGAAGTGTCAAAACACTCTGTAGAACTTACCTCTTGTACTTGCCGCAAGCGATGCACAAGTGAGAAATGTAAATGTGTCAAAATGGGAGTACGATGTACCAAACTTTGTGTATGTGAAGGACAGTGCTCCGAAAGTGATTGGTGATTTTAATTAAGCAAGATCTTATTTTATTTAAATATCTTAAATAAGTGTATTTTAAAATGTATGGATATTATTAACTTTAAATATTAAACTGGAATAATAATGTACATTATTTTGCTTCTCATTCTTGTACTTTATGTTTAAAATTTATCTTTCAGTTATCCCTAAAAAAAAGCTATAATATAATTACATTTACACCAAAAATAAAAAAATTACATTAATTACTTAAACAATTATAAAGCCGGTTTAATAGTTTTCGGAACCCCTCTACACTACATTGTTGCCGAACGAGTCTCTCGCTATGCAAAATTGTTTTAGAAGATTTTCAGCGACTGTTTGGAACAAAATCAAAGTTTTATATACTGTTCGAAAGGTAATTTTTTTACGAACAAAAAAGTTTCTATCATATTTTTAGCTAAATACAACTGATTCCGTGTTATTTAGCAAAATATCTAAAAAATTCAAAATAAAATTCAAAAATTTTAAAAAAAGTTACAAAAATTTCTGAAATTATGACCTTAAATGATAATGTAAAATATGTCATTAAAAAGCGAATTTTCTACTGATTAATAATCACTAAAAATATAGGTAAATATCTAAATACAAACCCAAGTTATATAGGAAAATGTAGAACCGCATCACAACAATTTGGCGGCCATATTGATAACGTTATCAACAACGTTAGGGGGGAGGAAAAATTTGTGTCCCGGGATTTTTAGACTCGTTTACCCATATACTATCTGAATCCAAAAGGGCGCATTGGTTGCCAAACGTGAAATATTTTGATATCATTTTCAGTTAGCACACCCCACTAATAAGTTTGTCTACCTTTATCAATAAAAAAATCTCTACCGGACAGTCAAATTAAATTTTTATGAGTGTTTGAAATTCAAATTTTTACAACATTGGATGTTCACTCGATTTCTCATGTAGCGATTTCCTTATTTTGTTGTTATTCATAAACGAATAACTATAGATACATGAAAATTTCATTGAATGTTTATATTAGCATTTCCTATACACCATACAATTTTAAAAATAATTTGACTCTTTTTGAGCTATTTACGGATATTTTCATTTTTCAATTTTTTTAGTTTTTTTTTCTTTAAATATCAATAAAGTTTTATCTGTTGGGTCAAAAAGTGTAAAAATTTAATACAAGGCTCCCGATATATTGTTACAATAGCAATTGAAAAATATTAAAAATACATATTCACAGTTTTTTTTTATAAGCATTTAAACATCGAATTTTGACAGAATTTTTCAAAATCTCGAAAATTATTAATCTTCGTAATTAATAAATTATAAAATGTACAGTTTTTATAGCTAAGGATTGAAAATTTAAAACAAGATTCCACGTAAGTAGTTAATTCTCTTACCAAAAAATCTAAAAAATATACAATCACAGTTTATTTTTATAGTCATTTTATGTTCAAATTTGGACGAAATTACATATTAAAAAACCTAGTTATTTTGTTGTGATTATATAATATTATTCGTGGGTACCTACTTGAAACTTCTAAAGTTTACTATTATATATCAATGATAGTATCAGGATTTGTTATTGATGTTGATATATAACGTGTTATAAGTACCTAATGGATATTGTGATAATGTGATATGATTAATTTGGAATTTATTATAGGTCAATTTTTTTTTAATACCATAGATATGTATATAATTTGTCTTAAACCTAGACTGACATACCGTCTTCGCTCAGAATCGTTTTTCTTATACAATGATATTGTATCATTGAATTCAAATTTAATACCATCCATTATACAGTGACCCACTTGTAACCTACAGTACAGAAGAGCGACATCCACTTACCCACCTTTTTTTTGTTAGTTATAACTTAAAATAATATATTCTTAAATATAAACTTGATCTATTTCAATAGATGAAAATAAAAGTGTTTCTTCTGACATTCATCCCTTGGATCCTAAAGTTGAAGTTCCTAAAAATCAGATAGAATTCAAACAAAGAATTTTAAAGGCCCAATTCAACCTATACTGGACATTTACCCAAGAACCTTGTTTAGTGGAACACTACGTAGTTTCCAAAAGTCATGGTATCAGCAATTTACTTAGTTAAAGTATAGTCCAGAAGAAGATTTGGCATTTTGTTTCCCTTGTAGTATGTTTATTGGATCCACAGGACTTAATGTTGGCCAATCTGAATTAGTATACTCAAAACTTGGATATAAGAATTGGAAAGCCGCTACCTCAAAATTCAGTTTACATGAAAAAACCAAAAATCATTTAAATAGTTCCACATCGTTGATGAATTTTTAAATTCCAAATCTATTGATGTTAGTTTAGATGACCAAATAAAAAATATTCACAGCCAGAAGGAGTTAACACGACAAAAAAATACAGAGATTATGAAACGATTGATCGATATTACTCTATGTCTAGGTATTGGTGGTAAACCATTCCGTGGAAATACAGAAAATAAAAATGATATTCATAGAGTTTTGTTTTTAGTCATAGTAGGTCTTCTACGTAAGTATGATACTATTTTCAATGAACAATTTATATCGGGACCCAAAAACGCTATGTATACGAGTAATCATATTCAAAACGACCTAATTTCATCCATTAGCCTGGTTATTAAAAGATAGTTAAAAGATATGATACTGAATGAAAAAGTTTCGTTGATAGCAGACGAGACTACTGATATTGGTCATCATGAACAGTTATTGATTGTATTGCGTTACTTCAACAAACAAAATGTCCAGTAGAACAATTTGTTTGTATGAAGCGAATAAAAGCAGTAGATGCTCAGACTATTTTTAGCTCATTAAGTGATATTATTCATGAATATAATATCAAATGGGAAAATATAGTTTGTCTGTTTTGATGGAACGGCATCTATGGCCGGGTGTACTACATATAATATAAATGTTGATGATGTGATTCAACAATTTAAAATATTAACTCCCTCCGACAGAAGAATGGTGCTTTAAAATTTAAATTCTAAATAATCATACAACTCAACAACTGTATTTTATAGTTATTAGAACTTTTTGTTTTTGTAATATTAACATATATTTGTACATAAACATGTAATAAATAATACATTACGTAATACAGATGATATTGATGAATACATGCTATATTTATGCATATTAATGAATTAACCCTATTTATATCTTCTCCTAAAAAATATTTCGACATGATGGTGAAAACAATTTGCCCCCCCTGCCAATAAGGTCTGCGCAAGCTTATGGTTGAAAGTAAATGAACATTGGTGTGGGTAATTCGTAGTACACATCACGTTATATAGAGGCACCATAATACATATGTAATTTTACATACACGCATGCACATGTCACCATTTATTACTTTATAAAATTACAAACATTTTTTTTTTCAAAAAATACTGCCAGTGACTTCAATCACTACGCTCAGTAGGATGTTCCGCTTTAATTTTCAGATTTGAATTCTCCTCTAAATTTAATATTGACTGTCGTACATTTTTCACATTCTATATCAATGTATTTGAATTTGAATTATGAATATGATCTGTTTTTACTCATTTTGTTATTAAATTACTAAGTAAAAAAAAAAATTAAATTCAGAAAAATGAAATTGTCAAAGCATAGATAATTTAGTGACGAATTCAAATTTGCTTTCAAAATTAATATCAGAACGTTATATTTTGCCTAGTGATTAGAGTCGTGAGCTATGTTTTCGACCGAAAATTAATCACGCTCCAGCCACTTTAAATATTCCTATCAGTCACGGGCTACATCAGGCCGAGTATAGAGTATCTCGTTGCGTAACTACTATATAATATACATAGTGATAATATAGCAATATATATTATATTATCTTCAATAAATTATGATTATAGTATAATATATATCTATAGGAAATTACAGTTATTGTTAACAAGAACAACTATTAAAGGTTATTTTTGGACAAGCGACGCCAGACGAGCAGTTGTCGACTGTTTGAACAATCCAGCAGATTGCGGCGCAATCGTGACAGCGACCGTGAATCGTGATTGGTGGTGTTTTTTTGGTTACTAGTTTTCGACTTATGGTCTTCGCGTGTACCTACAGTGTCTCAATTATAATTTATAAACGGCTAGCTGGTGTACTTCCATGTAAAAATATAGCTATATTTTATACTATTTATCGTCATTTTAATGAGAAATTGTATTATGTATAATTTAATAAAATGCTCATTGTATTTAATAGGTATATTTTAACTTATTAATATGTAGTTGGTAAAGCTTAGCTGATTATAGTTGATATTTTATATTATACTCAAATATGTCTTATTCTAATTTGAACAAATCTACCAAACCTAGGAGGTATTTAGAGGAAGTCGAAACCATTAATTTTTTAGTAGAAAATCAACAATCTCAATTTTCACCACAGCCATCAAATACATCCCGACATACTGAATCTAATTTAACTATAAATGGTGAAAATGTTATTTTTAGTTTAATAGTGTTGACTTTTAACTTACATTATTAATATTTAAATACTAATGTATCTATTTATATATATGTATTATTTAACTATTTCAAATACCTATGTAATATAAAACTATATTTTTGTTTATTGATAGAGAAATAAACATTAATTAATATGACAAGTTATTCAGTAGTACATTTCTTTGAAGATAATTCTGTTGAGGCAGTACCAAGCTATTGGGTAAAAAAAAAATGGTATATGTGCATGGCCTCAAAATTAATTGTCTGTAGCAAAATTAATTAAACGAAAAACTATCCCAAATGAAATTGATTTTAATTATTATAAAGCAAGGATTTTAAAATCAATATTGGTAAACTAAATAGTTAAGATTGAACATTTTAATCAAAAAGTTCTCTTTCAATTTTAAGTGTATTTTAGAATCTCTAATATCGGAAAAAGCATTGGCAGACTTGGGAACTATTAATAGTGATTTATCAGCTGATGATGATAAATCAAAAAGAGAACTACTTGCAAAGAAAAAGACTCAGTCCTATTCTGTTCGTATTACGTCGAC